ATTATGGAAAATATTAGTGAATTTTGATTTTATGTAGCTATAGCTATAGTTTTTGTAAAAATAAGACTAATGCCGGAATTTCGAACTTGACAGATTCAACACTAAATTCTTCTATGTCCATTTAAATGCCAATAATAGTGATAATTTTTGTTTTTTAATAATTGAAATTCAGATCTTACTTTTGGAATAAGGTAACCTTTAAATATATTTTTATCTAAACCGAAAAAATAATGATTTTGTATACAAAAAGGAATAAGAGAAATTTAAGGCTTTGTATTTCATGAAGAGAATGCATTGTATAATTCTAAATATGAGTTATACAAATATTTCTGATTTGATTATATTCACATGATAAAATGTTTCCTCCCTTGTCTTTTATTTATTGTAATATTAAGAAGTAAAATTAAAATGTTGGTGTGAGTTATGGAGCCTTCTTTCGTGTGGGTATATATCTTTAATTGTGTCAAATAAAAATATTTTAAATTTAAATATAAAAATTTTAATTAATTTTTTAATTAAACTACCCATATTTTACTACAAATTTGTAATAATTTGTTATCCGACATTTTTTTAAAAGAAATAAACTGTTTTTACTACTGAAACATTAAAATCTGAATGAATTAAGGACAGCAACTAATAGTGATGAGGGAATTTATTTATGTCATATTTAATTACAATATAAATAAATTAAATAATAAATTTTCGTTCTCATAGGTTCATAATAAAAAGATAATAATAGTTGTTCAAGTTATATTTATTTTAAAAGAAAAATCATTAACAACAAAATAAAAATATTATACACTAATTATTTATAAAAATTATAATAAATAATGATTTTCAAACCTTGAAGAAGAAAACAAAATTTGATACTAGTAAAATAACTATTAAAAAACAATTCGTGATTGAAAAAACTAATAAGAAAAAAAATAAGAGGAATAATAATATGTTCTTCATACTTAGAATATTTTTTTAATACTTATTTTACTAGATTAAAATTTTGTTTTCTTCTTCTAGATTTAAAATGTTATGTTTTCTAAAAAAAAAATATTCTTCCATTAATGGTTTTCCTTTTGGAACAGATATTACCTAAACAATTATCGTACGTTGAAATTATTACGTTGAACTAATAATTCGCACAATGTATAACTTTTTAGATCCTATTTGTTATACATTTTAAGTGATTATATAGTACTTATTTCTCTTTTGGGGCAAAATATCTGGCCTTTCGTTATCAGTACTACGTTTCAATAAAAAGTTTGTAAATTCGGAAATAAAAAAAATTAAGACCAAATATGGGATAATTAAAACGGTCAAGCAGTTTAAGTCATCGACGGTGGGGACACTGAGGTTACCAAATGTTGGAAAATAAAATCGGAGAGATTGAGAAGGACATTTGACAAGGAATGCCTGCAATAAAAAGAATATTTCTAAAATAGTGTTGCCGATGGTGCTATACGGGTCGGAAACAATGGGGTTTACTCCTTTGCAGAAACAACGAAAAATAAAAGAAAAATCTTAAGACTTATCCACGGATCAAGAAAAGTAGGGGAAGAGTCTAAAAGAGATCTTGTTTTTTTTTTTTCCTCGAATTCGAGTAAAAAAAACATAGAATTATAAGAGAGAACTGAATGCTTGGAAATAACAATGAGGAAAAGAAGACTTAACATTTTTCGGGCAAATGAAAACAGGTTGATCGAACAGATATTCGGCAAATTCATTAAATGCATTAAGCTGGACATGAGTGGAACAGACAAGCATAAGAGAGATATGAGGGAGAAAATGAAGAGAACATGGGATAATAAGAAAGCCGAGAAATGATATACTTGTGGTCCTTAGGCGGCCATTATAGCGGGAAAACATTTATTTTGACTAAAAATTATTGTGTCGAAAACTCAGAATATTCATTTACCTGCAAATATATAAAAAAAAATATGCATAATTCTAATTGATATTGGAACAACGGTTTAATTAAAAAAAGAAAGATTAAACTAAATATCAGTAATATGGATTGTTGTTGTTTGACCATTTATAAAGAGAATCAATTTCAAAGAATATGATTTAATTTAAAATCTATACTTGGAAAAAAATAAAATCCTGTGTATTATGAGATTAAGCATCATATACAAATGATACATGTAAGTTTCATATGAAAATAAAAGGACTTACCTTATTAGAAGCTGGCTATAAATCCGCCAACCCTCTCCCCGTACTAATGTGATGACCACTTAGCTCCCCAAGACGCCAGCAATAACTAAATTCACTAAACTTGCCCACTTCCTTCAAAAAGCTATTATCTTATCAATTTTATTAGCTCTTTGTAATAACACCTACACTGATTTATTGCTTGTTTACTGAAGGAATACGGCATTTACAGTATTGAAGATTTAAATAAATAAAATAAAATTTAAATGCATCGATTAAATTAAATACCGTTTCTGAGAAGATCATTGTTTTTTTCCCGGTCATAATCAATTCTAGTTCTTTTTCATCATGATATAATTTCCATTTAGAACTGTGATGTAATTCCTTGAGAGCATCAGACAAGGAGAGATTGGCCAAAAGTATGGAAAATGAGAACCTTCATAGGTAGCTCCCAAAACATTTCCAGTCAAAATTTATTTTTGTTTATTTATTGGTGGATTATTCGAGCTAACATGTTTACATCATAAAGTTTTTCCGCTCATCGCATCAACATCCATTTATTTAAACATCATGAAACAACTTTTCGAGTCCCATTGGTTCATTATGTTCTCTTCTTCTTTAACATTCTCCTTGTGCCTTTCAGCATTGGGTCAAGTTAATCCAACACAGGATCTTCATCTAGCTCTGTTTCTTGCAAGAGCCTTTGTCTCCTACAATGTCTTTCCTCTCGCTGGTCCCAACTTGGAAATATAACTATCATAGCTAAGCCTTGGTCTTCCTCTAGGTCTATAGCCTACTGGTCTAACCTCCATAAATCTCCGTAGGTCACAAACAGGGCTCATCCTGGACACATGCCCGTACCATCCTAACCGTCTCTTCTCCGGAGTCTCCTTCATTGCAAGGATGTTTAGTTCTGTTATAGTTTCATTTCTGATCCTATCCCTGAGGGTTTTGGAAGCCTCTCTGCGCAAGTATTTCATTTCTGCTGCAGTTATACGGCTCCATTTGCTGTCCAGGAGTACCCATCTCTCTGCTCCATACAACAGTACAAGCATATATACGGCCTTGAATGTAAGGAGCTTGACGTCTTTATTGACTTCTCTTTTTCCTATGATTGCTAATGGAATAATATACACTATTAGCTTTTCCTATCCTGTGGGATATTTCTGGATGGACTTTTCCATTTCCACCGATAATAGTTCCAAGGTAGGAGAACTCACGACAAGCACCTCGGATTTATTCGGGATCTCAGTATCATTATCTTATGGATCATTATCAAGATATCTATAAATAAAATTTACATATTTAAGAATTAAGTTATTGTGATAAATGACAAAATGATAAATTTTGTATGTTACAATTTAATTTAGTTAACGATAAAATGCATCGTTGAGATATTACCAAAATTTAAATCACGAGATATAATACCCTTACCTAAATAACTTTATATTCCCTTTCTCCCTTGATCATCCCTTAAAAATACATTTCAGTAATATATAGTATAATATAGTACTGAAATAAGAAAATACAATTTTTGTCGTGTTGTATTTGTCTACATTTAATAAAATACAAAGAAATAAATGTAGCATGTAGGTTTTTTATTGTGTGAATATAACATAAAAATCCAGATACTATTAATGCTTTTGAATAATTAATTTAATTTATAATTTGCTATGCCCTCCAGCCTTTCCTCTTTCCATGCTTTAACTGGACTCTGTTACTTGATGTATGCCTTTTAACATTTTAGATGTGCTACTGTTAATGTTTAATATATATAAGTTATTACGCTGAATCAAGTAATTATATCTTAATATCATAATGTTGGTCGATGTTTAATAGGTCAGATTTTAAATTCGCTAAATTGTTTAATTTTTTGGTAATAAATGAAGAAGAGGTGAAGGTCAGTGAGTAAGGCACTGACTGCCAATGCTCAATGCCCCAGGTTCAAGTCCGACTGTGGCAGGTAATTATTACTTACGGTGGTTACTCTAAATTAAATAATTAATTAAGTGGAAAAACCTGACGGTCGAGTGTGATCTCGGCCAAATCACCTCCCTGGAAAATCTTTGGCCTGGAAACAATTCAATCTTATTAACAATAAGTACTGAACACAATACTCATGTATTACTCAATATATAAATATATTAATAGTTAATAGTTTTTTTTTTTATATTATTGTTTCTGTCTCTATTTAGTATTATTAAGCGGTCTAAATCAAATGTATGATTATTTTTCTCACGATGATTTGATAATGCCGTTGCTTATATATTTTTGTGGTTTTTAACATTAGTTTTATGACGTTTTATCCGTTTTTTGAGAAGTTGTGAGATGTTTTTCCTGTTTATTGTTTCGGAGATTGCATAAATTAAATTTTGTATATAATATCTTTTTCGTCTGTATTTATCTATTATTCCTCTGTACGTTATATATTTTAATCAGATATTAAATATTTCATAAATGTTTCACCCGTTTATTAATATTATCATTCAGTTTAAACATCAGATCATTGTGTTCATATTCATAAATTTCGATTTGTGGTATTTGTTACAATTTCAATTTTGTTTTCCTCCATTAGCTCGATCAATGTTTCTATATATATTCAGTATTTATGTGCTTTCTTCATTCAATTATTAAAAAACTTGATGATATAAATTAAAGAAAGTGCCCTTGAAGAATAGAAACGCTGTTAATAACAAAATACACACTACAACTTAAAAGAAATATAAATAAATTATTGGAGGATTGCCTAGCAGGAAAAAAATGTAAAGAATATTTTGCTTTGTTAAGTGGTTTTTTTAATGTTGGCAAAACTACCTCTGCCGTAGCTATCTCCTTAAATCCATTAGCTTATCGTTTTTATGGTATTAATACAAGTCATCCTGCGAATAAAGGTAATGCAAGGTTACTTTTTGAACAAACTAACACATATTAGCAAAGTTCCTTTCACTTTTAAGTTGATTATTGTCACATGGACAATAATTATTCAAAGTTATTCTCGCCCCGAGCTCCACAGGTGATCATTTAGGTTATATTTTTAAATACTGTAATTTTCTACATTATATATATATATATATATATATATATATATATATATATATATATATATATATATATATTGTATTCTTTCGAAATTTAACGTTAAGATTTTAACATTTCAAGAGTTGTTGAAATGATTTGATTATTTTTTTTTTTTATAAACTTTTATTGAGTATTAATACAGTCTGCCACACTGAAGGGCATTGGTACTAGTGCTATAGTATTCATTCACACAACATGCACATAAGAAAGGGGGAAAAAGTATATATATATATATATATATATATATATATATATAAAGATAAAGTAATATACAAAATAATTAAAACAACTGATTATTTAAAAAATAAATAAAATGTGCTTTTTATGGTTAATTGGTAAAAATGATTCGAAACATTATATAGGGACGGTTTTTCGTTTTACCAGTCGTCCTTGAAAATAAGTCATGTCTCGAAAATAAATAGAAGAGATTCGATCTCCCACTCGCACGCTTAAAATAAATAAAAACACTGAAAATATATGAAATATGTTTTAAAATAAATATTTTATTATAATAAAACATTTTTAAATATTGCTGTAATGAATTTATGACAATTTCCACTTGTTTTCTTAAGGGTTTAATATTTTTGATGTGTCTTCAAATTACGTTATTAAAAAAATAATAAATACAAAAATAATAATGCTGTTCAATAATTATGATTTAAAACATAGTACAGTGGCATTTTTTGTTTTTTCCAGTTGTCCATGGAAAACAATCATACTTCCAAAGTTAGAGAAGATGATGACTTAGGAGTATGGAAGACAACTTTAATAGTTTTATTATTTTATAAATAAAAATATTATTAATTATATTTTTGGTAAAATTTATATAATAGTGTAGCATTGTAACAATAATTAAAATATTAGAAAGGTTCTTCAAATGTTTCAGTATTTATTTTCTTAGACACGGCAATATTAACCAGAAGAAAATCTATAAAGAAACAATTTTTTTTTTAGTTAAAGTTTGAACGTATATCTTCATGTCTATACTCACTCCAGACTTTAAATACGTGAGTTTTTATTAAAACAATTCTTGAAAATTATCTAAAAAATTATATTGATGTTTTTATCTCACCTCCACGCATAAACTAAAAACGTGAAAATTTAAGAAATGATAATAATAATGATACGAAAATTTGTCCGCTTAAACAAATGCTTATCTAGAATAACCTTTAAATTTCATCTTTGTTTTTTTCTTTTTTCACATTTGTCAATATATTTTCTACATCGGACGACTATATTTTAAAATTAGAATTATTTTTAAAATTATTAAATTGCTATGGTACGAGAGAATCAACAAATGTTGAGCCTTCTCAGGACAGTTGATGGTGACTTTGAATGTTTAAAACTTTGTTTGCAAAGATACACTTTTTCAAGAGAAGAAAACAATTGCCAGAGTTTTTCAAATTCTATTTTAATTTTTAAACTCGGAGAAATAATTTATACCGACCCCAATTTTATAAAATGAAAAATAAATTAAATGAATCGGTATCAATCCAGATAATTGACGTCCGGTTATTTGAAAATACAGGATATCCACTTTTTTGTTATTTATTTGATGAAATTGCCATAGTTAAACTACAGCTTAGCTTAATTTATACAAAATAAATAATGGATAATGATTTGGTTTAGGTACTCTTATTCATTCATTTAAATTGCTCGATGAAATCCTTCTGAATCATAGAATAATTATTCATTATTAGATTAAATTCAATAATAATTGAATGTAAGTAAATAGTGTGGGAAACAATCCTTTGTCATGTTTTCTATTGTAGTTCGATTCTTTTGTCGTGTTCTGGAAACTCTATATTTGTAAAATGATGGGGATAGTTTTCTATTATTGCATGGTTTATATTAGGAATTTAAACATTTACCTTTAATGATTTCAATTTATGCACAAAATAAAAAAATAAAAAATACCTACTACTTACTTGTTAAATCCACAGTATTGGGAAGAAGGTCCAATCTTGGCTAATTGAGCCAATTATTCACTTCATTTGCAAATTAGTATATGTATGAGGTTGTTTTTTTTTTGTTGCAATATTTGTGGATACAAAATTAATGTCACTAAAAGTTTCCTTCGGTTTTCAGATTCATTTGGTAGCGTATACGTATGCGTTTATATTTTTAACAATTAATAGATGCTCATCCGTTCATTTATTATCTACGCCAGCCAAACTTGGACCTTAACTAAAAACGATGAAAAAGATCAACAGGCCAAAAGAAAAATACTTCAAAGAATATTTGGTTCTGTAACGGAAGGACAGGCTTGAAGAATTCGGAAGTACCGAGAGATTTACGAATTATTTAACGAATCTGATGCAGTCAGAATAATACAATTGAGAAGGATAGAAATGGAGAGATCTAAAATCTCGATAAGAGTACTTGATGGGTCATTACACTATGCAAGGAGAACTGGCAGACCGAGATTGAGGCGGGCAGATGGTGTGGCGGCCAACGTAAGAGATCTGCTGGGAGTCAGAAATTGGAAAGTGGCCGAACAGAACAGAGAAAGGTGATAGAGGAGGCCAGGAATCGCTGAGGATTGTACAGCCATTGAGTAGATAGCTGGATAGATAGGTAGGTAGATATATAAGTAGACAAATGCTCATACAGGTTGGAATATTATCAATAATTTATTTTTTAAAAATAACAAGCAATATTATATAAACTTATGAGAGATTATGAGAGTTTATTACTCATTTTATGGTGAAATGATTTATATTTTATTAAGTTGATAAAATAGCGAACCAAGCGGCATGCGTCCAATACAGTTCCAGTATGTTCTCCATAAAATAATAGAAGGCACCTTCAAACTGTTAAATTGATGACCATTTTGTTACACTACTTAATTATTTAATAAGTTTGTACAATTACTTATAGTCATTTTAAATAAAACTGACTTGAGAATTAAAGATATCGCATTTATTTTTAATGGCCCGCTCCTTTCGGATTCGCTGTGGAACAGAATTTTCCGATATCTATCCCGTTAAAGCCGGTGTTCCCCAAGGCAGCGTTTTGGGTCCTGTCCTTTACATCCTCTTTACCACTGACATCCCTGTTCATCCCGATACCTTCTTGCAACATTCACTGAAGAAATCGCAACCATATCACCCAACTCTCATCCCGAAATAGCCTCCTCAAATTTGCAAAGGTACCTCTCCTTGATTGAGCACTGGTGTATTAAAGTGAATGAATCCAAATGCCAACATATTACCTTTACACTCCGACGCAACTCCTGTCCACCAGTACAATTTAATTCCATCCAGCTTCCTTTCTCAGACACAGTCCGGTATCTTGGCTTTCATTTAGACCGAAGACTAACATGGAACCCACATACTAGACTCAAAAGACAAGAACTCAACCGACGATACGGCCAACTATACAGACTACTGAACAGAAAATCTAAACTTTCTATTGAAAACAAATTACTTATCTACAAGACAATCCTGAAACCTATATGGACATACGGACTTGAACTGTGGGGGACAGCAAAATTTTCTAACATCAAACGTATTCAATCCTTTCAATCTAAAGTCCTTCGAACAATAGTTGATGCTCCGTTCTATGTAACTAACAAAATCCTACACCATGACCTTAATATCCCATTTGTCCTAGACCTTATTCCAGAAAAATTCTCCACATTTCACCAGAACCTTACCTATCATCCAAATCCCCTTGCACAATCCCTATCCAGCACCACCCATCCTTACAATCCTCCTCGAAGGTTGAAGCGGCAGTGGCCCAGAGACCTTTTGTACATTGGAGTTTTAGCATCGGCCAGATTCTCCACTCAAGCCATGTATGTGTGATTATAGCGCCTCTGATCAGCCTCTACTGGTCCTTAATACCAGTAATGCGGCTGAGTGAGAGGCGCTGGGATCTTCTAGAGTCCTGTCTTTCCTTCCACGAGTGGGGAGAAAGGCTTGGCTCGGAGATCTTGAGTGAATGATTTTTTATTTTTTTAGATGTTGTATAGAAGCATATGTGTATGTGGGTAGTTATTTTTATTTGTAAAGTCTCTTTTTGTTTAGTGTAGTTTATATACATTTATTTTTAGTGTTATTGTTTTTCTATATTATTTATTTTTATTTATTGTTGATAGAGAGTGAATGTGTACTCAGAACACTAATATAAATGTTCTTAAATGTGACAGATTGTAATATCTCTCAATAAATATGTTTAATTTTTTTTTTAATGGCTAGCATCAACGGTAGAGATTTAGCTTTTCGAGCTGAACCTACACAACAGTTTTAGAATCAAAACACCGGATGCTTAGTCTATGTTCAAGGGTATAACGAATTTAATTTATATTCTAATACGATTTGGGGCAACACTCTAGGCCAGCTACAATGGTCCAACTTGTTCAAAGAAGTCGGTTAATACGGAAATAAAATAGTTTCGTCGTCTACATTTAAAATTATACAGACAATCGAAAACCATTATAAAAAGCCTGTCGAGCACAGTTTTATTAGAATGCTTTTATTATTTTTGAGATTTTCAGGTCAATCCATGCTTTTTCCATATTCAGAAAAAAAGTCAAAAGGTTATTTGATACATTATACCTTTTGATGAAGGATGCAAAATCAAGTTTATAAAATAAAATGTGTGCAGTTTACCCGTGAATAATTTTAGTTTTTGCACTTGAAGCAAATGGACAATTAGCTGAAATGCTTAATTAATTATTCATTTCATCAATAGAAAAAAAAAATGAACGCGATGGATAAGTTAAAGAACATATAAAAAAATGATACTTGTACTTTTGACGACAAATTTTACCATTCTTTAATATTCCTAAAAGAAAGCGAGGACAAAATGAAATCTTCATCAGATATCTATCAACCAGATAAAGAAATACCTTGCACATTTCCATGTGTTGAAACATTATTGAATTTTTATTCAACTCTTCCCCTATCTATTGTCACAGAAGAAAGATCATTTTATGTTTTAATAGGTGTAAAAAAATACTTAAGAACCACTACGGGAGGGAAAGATTAAATACTATGGCTATTCTGAATTCTATATATACAGAAGCAAAAAAAACGTTGAGATCTCCTAAAATTATTGATGAATTTGTAAGAAAAAAATTACGTAAATGAAATATGTAAAACTTATTTAAAATAAATTAATTTACACTTTAGCTACGGTTATGGTCCCCGCCGTCAATCAGGTATAATGATTATTTACGTTTGTATCTTTTTTTACATCTATCCAACTCCTATTCGAATATTTTTAAAAATTACCATTTTGTCACTAAAATTAGGAAGTCTCCTTCGTAAGATAGGCGAAATTCGAAACAATTCCGGCCATTTGGTAATCGAATATCGGAACTCGGGGATCGTCACAAAAAAAAAAAGATCGATTAACACGTTAATCGATCTTTTTTTTTTTTTTGTGTTGGGAGCTTCAAAAGTTTCAACAACTCAGAGTCCCTAATTGTCTTAATCCATCTCTTAGTTCATCAACGGAACACCAGAATTATTTATAAATTTCTAAGCCTGATGGATGGTGTTTGATTAATGGTAAAATTGTTTATGTTCTGTTTTTGCTTAATTTTAAACATCTTAAAATGACTTCTCACTACGTAAATTAATAAGTATGATTTTTGAATTATATAACAAAATTAAAAAAAAAAGTTGCTAAAAAATTGTTTTTTAACAATTCAGCATTTTTAATATTATAGTTTTATACCTAAGTCAGAATTGTTGAAAATGTAACTTAAAAACTGTAGTGAAACGCTAAAATAATTTAATTCTCTAAATTGTTGACTATACTTAAACAATTTTTATATATTTTGTCCATATATAGCAAATGCGTTTTCATTTTAATTGATGGCAAAAAATA